ATATGCACATTTCTAAGTGTTTAGGTTAAAAAATTAAAAACTGTTTTCTTTTTCCTTTCAAAATGCACATTACACTAAGAAATGAAAAGAATATTGCCTCCTGATTGCAAACATTTGCTTTATAACAAAGCTCAGAATATTAAAGATGTATAAAACATGGTCTAAGGCAAACAATAAAATGCAATTTTCTGCATATATGCTGGTTTTATGAGGGAAATAATTTAGGTACAGATACATCATTTTAATGATGAGGACTTTCTCTACAATTAATGAAGAAAAACATGACACCCCAAGAACATTAAGCTAAAATGAACTCTAGTGAAGAAAAATGAGGTTCTGATTCAGAATAAAATCCTATCTTTTTAAAAGCTATTTAGTCATTGTCAATTGACAAATGATTTAAATATTTGTGCTCTTAAAAAAGAAATTCCAGGGGCTGGAGCGATAGCACAGTGGTAGGGCGTTTGCCTTGCACGCAGCTAACATGGCCGACCCAAGTTCGATTCCTCCGCCCCCTCGGAGAGCCTAGCAAGCTACCGAGAGTATCTCGCCCGCACGGCAGAGCCTGGCAAGCTCCCCGTGATGTATTCGATATGCCAAACACAGTAACAACAAAGTCTCCAATGGAGACGTTACTGGGCCTGCTCGAGCAAATCGACGATCAACGGGAGGGCCTCGAGCATACAAAATCTAGTTCTGAAACAATTATACTTTATCAATTTATCATTAGTTTACTATTTTTTTATAATTCTAGGAGAGCCTGGCAAGCTACCGAGAGTATCTCGCCCGCACGGCAGAGCCTGGCAAGCTCCCTGTGACGTATTCGATATGCCAAACACAGTAACAACAAAGTCTCCAATGGAGACGTTACTGGGCCCGCTCGAGCAAATCGACGAACAATGGGAGGGCCTTTACCTCGAGCAAAAAGCTAAAAAAGAAAAAAAATTTCCATAGGACAAAAGTCAAGTTCTCTTGAGTCCCCAGTCCCCAGGAAGCAGAAGCAGCTGCCAACTCTCGCTGCTTTGTTGCTTGGGCTCCTATGCTGGAAGCAGACACTGGGTTCACAGTCAGGAGACCAGAAGAGCCATATCTGTCGGTCAAGAGGGCAAAGTGGTAGCACAGGACTTTCTAGGGCCTTGCTGGCTCACTAGTCTCTTTTTGTTTTCATATTTGCAAGCAAAACAGGCTCAGAGGAGTGGTGTAACTGAACTCAGGTCATACAGGGCTGCAGAGGACTGGGATCTAGAATCTTCTGTGCCTGAATATTACTCTCTACAGGGCCTAGGTGCATTAGTCCCAGTGTGAAAATTGGAGGTGAGACTTCCTAAACGGGCGTTGTGACAGGGAGAGCTTCAAGCTGTCGTTGATTAGATGGACACATTTTACACAGTCAGGCCAATGAGCGGGGGCAGATTAGAAAGGGTTATGGATTAAGAAGAAAGAGCAGGATCTGGGCTGGAGTGGTTAGGGCGTTTGCTTTGCACGAGGCCGACCCGCGTTTGATGCCCAGCATCTCGTATGGTCCCCTGAGGACCGCTGGGAGTGATTTCTGAGTGCAGAGCCAGGAGTAACCCCTGTACATCACAGGGTGTGACCCAGAAAGCGGAAAAAAAAGAGCAGAACCTGAAGGGAGGACCTCAAGGAGACCAACCATGGAAAATGGGTCAAGAGGAAATACACTTAGACGTTGGATTAAATTCTAGCTTTTAAACAATTCCTTTTTCACAACAGCAAATATCAATTTTTGGTTTATTAATGCCAAGAAAACATTAAATGAAAATACATGAACCGGAGAATGATTGTTTGGCTAAGTGAAGACACTTTATACAGGCCAAACTATGTACAGACCAAAAACTTAGATTCTAAGAATTCTTTACAATTAGTATTCCAGGAGAAAAAAAAAATTCACCCCTGTATCTGTGTTGCTCTGTAAATTTTAGGGATGTTCTGAGCTGAGTTTTGTCCAAAATGTAGTTACCAGGTAAGATAAAGAAGCAGGTAAGTATCGCTATTCCACTCGAGATTCATTAATTTAATTGAGAAAAGGTCATATTCCTTATCAGAAAACAATATTTTAATGACTTTTTGTTGAAAGTCACGTTTTTTGCAAAGAAATTAGGCTTAAACAAAACTCCACGGTTTTTGCAAAAAATAAATAAATAAATAAATAAATAAATAAGATAAAAAAAAATCTAACCCCTGACCCACAAAGAAGTAATTTTGTGAAAATTAAGTAATTTATAAAACTCCACAACAGCATTTGAAAATCAGTTTTGAGAACAAAATATGCCTCTCATTAAAACTAAAAGTGAGAAAACGGAGGCTTCTAAAATATAGTAACTGTGATTAATTAGGGAGTTTCTTTTAAAATGAGACAGTCATCATTCAAGACAAATATAATAAATGTAAGATGATCTATATTGCATAGTGGGGAAGGAAATGTGATACGTACAATTTCTTTTGTGAGGTTGGAGGCATCAGCCAGCAGTGCTCAGGACTTGCTCCAGGTTCTGTGCTCTGGGATCACTGAAATCCTGTGTGTTCAAAGACCAGGGGTGCTTCCTGGGACTGAACTAGGGTAGGCTGTATCAGGGAAAGTACCCATAACCCTGCACTATCTTTCAGACCCACATCATATTTAAAAAAACTTCTGCATGAGAACCACATTATGGACCATTTGGTATATTTTCCATGTGGTAAAATATTAAAAACAAGAAACAAATTCTTTTGTTTTTTGTTTTGTTTTTGGGTCACACCCAGCGATGCTCAGGGTTACTCCTGGCTCTGCACTCAGGAATTATTCCTGGCAGTGCCGGGGGAACCCTATGGGATGCGGGGGATCAAACCTGGGTTAGCCATGCGCAAGGTAAATACCCTCCCCGCTGCACAATCACACCAGCCCCCAAGAAACAAACTCTTACCCTAAAAACAATCCAAGTTAACATGGCTAGTTGTTGAAGTTTAAAATTCTGCTTTTAGGATGTACCATTATAAGGTGTTGAAATGACAGACTGGCACCAATAATAAACGTATTGGAGGACTACAGGAAGACATACCCACCTTGTCTCTGTGAAAACTTCTTTTTCTCTATTAAGGTAGTAAGAAAGAACATCCTTTCTAAATCCCAATGAAAGCTTCCTCGTATCCAGATGAAGCTATTGGAGCAATCCAAAGATAAGTATAGCCTAAGCAATATGATATTTTTAACTACCTAGGTAGACCTCATTAGAAGTGAAATAATTGGCAGAAAAAGTTCAAACACAGAGATAGAGAGAGTATATTTCCCCTTATTTTATAGAGGTCAGGGTAGGGGAAAACTAGTTCAAGGGATGTCCTAAATGTCATCCCCCTCAACACACAGTCACACACATACATACCCACACACACTCACCCCTCCCCCCGCCCCACACACACACCCAGGAAAGTCTCCAGTCAGGATGGTTAAGAGAGTAGGAAAAAGGCAGGAGTGGTTGAGAGGCAAAAGATATAAAGAAAGTGGAGAAGAGAAGGCACCTCAGGGACCTCGAGGGACGAGAGCTTTCAAACCCTCTAGCGCTCTGTCACTCAGCATTCGGGGGCCTGAGGCACCCCACCAACTCTTCCTTTATCCAGAGGAAGGAAGTTCTGGGGGCCAGAACACTTCTCTAAAGCATGTTCATTTATATATATTTTTAATTCATAGAAAACTGTATTTTGGTTGCTAGAAACGATCCTTGCATATTAAGTATATTTGTGGAACTGGGAAAACAAATTCTAGAAGAGTTTTATCTTTTTATTTTATTTATTTATTTATTTATTTATTTATTTGCTTTTTGGGTCACACCTGGCGATGCACAGGGGTTACTCCTGGCTCTGCACTCAGGAGTTACTCCTGGCGGTGCTCAGGGGACCATATGGAATGCTGGGAATCGAACCCGGGTCGGTCGCGTGCAAGGCAAACGCCCTACCCGCTGTGCTATCTCTCTAGTCCCTGGGAAAACAAATTCTAATGTTCAATAAGGAGAATATAGACAACAATTAGCATCACCCTTTACTCCCCTAAAGATTAACAGTGGGTCAGGAAGGAAGAAGTGACACTTGTTTTATTTTTTAAAAAGTGTATCAAAAAAAAATCTACAAACAAGGCAGGGTTTTGTTTGTTCTTTTGTCTGGAGCTCCTAAACCAGGGATATTCAAGCGAGTGTGTATGTGGAAAGTTCTTTAAAAATAAAGATTCTTGGGGGTTGGAGCAATAGTACAGCGGGTAGGGCGTTTGCCTTGCATACGGCTGATCCAGGTTCAATTCCCAGCATCCCATATGGTCCCCCGAGCACCTCTAGGGTAGTTCCTGAGTGCAAAGCCAGGAGAAACCCCTGAGCATTGCTGGTGTGACCCAAAAAGCAATAAATAAATAAATAAATAAATAAAGATTCCTGAGTGGAAGAGATTGTACAGGGACTAAGGTGTGTGCCTTGCATGTGGCGGGCTACCCTAATTTAATCTCTAGCACCACACAAGTATTCCCAAGCACCAACAGCAGTAGGACCCAAGTACCACTTGGTGTGGTTGAACCAACGCTTCCTGACCCCCTAAAAAGTACCAAATTCTGGCGTCTATTTCCAGAAATTCAGACTCAGCAATCCTCACGAGTCCTCAAGAATTTACTTTTCAGACATATTCTCCTGGATATTCTCATACATGTGACCTGGAGAAACTCTATCTGAAAGTACCATTCTTTCTCTTTAAGTCATGACTTAATTCTTGACTTAATTAACAGATTTCTCCGTGCTAATGTCCTGTTCAGAAAGTGGACAACCAAAGGATTTAGCACAGACAAATGGTCAGGTACAGTGGGGGAATACGGAGCTTTCTCAAAACCATCCAGAGAGCTCAATTTATCTCTAAAGAATCTTCCAGACGGTCCACACCCTTGATCTAACCCAACGTAAACACCAGGCTCCTGAGCTTCATGTTGGTTTTTGGGAAAAAGAAGCTGCTATGAGTGTTTTCCATATTTTTACCTCTTTTGGAGACAGGATAGAGATGTAATCTTCATAGATCATTCTGGCTTTTTCCTCAATAACCTTCTTGTTCTGTTCTTTCTTTAAGTCTTCACAAGCAAGCCAGAAAAGTAAGTTCTCTTCACTGTACTCCGTGCGGAGGAACTCGCGGAAGAGATTTCTTCCTGCTGGGGCCTTCATCATCTTATCAAAGTTTTGAGACCAGGATAAGACTTCATCTGAAGTGGGGTTCTGGCTGCAGAGACAGATGTGGTTAGCAAAGGTCAAAGTGACCCAGACCCTGCAGGAAAGGAGATGCAGAAAGGGTTTTTCTCTTTTTGGGTCACACCCAGCGATGCTCAGGCGTTACTCCTGGCTCTTCACTAAGGAATTTCTACTGGCAGTGCTTGGGGGACCATATGGGATGCCAGGGATTGAAACCGGGTCGGCTGTGTGCAAGGCAAATGCCCTACTCGCTGTACTATCACTCAGGCCAGGAGCTGCAGAAAGTTTAGCTTATTCAACTGCTGCCACCTAGTGGCGACTGAGCAGGTGGACATCTCCTAGGGTATCATTAGTCAAGTAAGGATTTACAACATTCCTGTGGGAATGACCTTCCTGAGAAGGAATCCATTTTTAGAACCGCCAGGTATTAATTACTTTATGGTTTCGGCCATCATAAATAAATCCCTAAGGAATCTCAGAAAAATTCACAATATAAGCTGAAACATTACATATGATAATTGAGATGAAGTGATTTAAAAAATTTTTTTTTAATTTTTGGGTTATACCCAGTGATATTCAGGGGTTACTCCTGGCTCTGCACTCAGGAATTACTTCTGGCGGTGCTCAGGGGACCATATGGGATGCTGGGAATCGAACCTGGGTCGGCCACGTGCAAGGCAAACGCCCTACCCGCTGTACTATCACTCCAGCCCTGAGATGAAGTGATTTTAAACATATTTGCATCTGATAAAACTTTGTTTGGGCCACACCCAGCAATGCTCAGGGCTGACTCCTGGTTCTGTGCTCAGGGATCACTCCTAGTGGGCTCGAAAGACCACAAGTGGGGTGAGAGGCTGAACCCAGATCCGACACAGGCAAGGTAAGTGCCCTCTCACTCCGAGCCATATATTTTCATTTTTAAGCCATAAGGTTGCAGATATTTCCTTTTATCTCCAGTAGTAATTTTTTTCATTTTTCATTGGATATAAAATAATACTACATTATATATACTTGTCACTCACTTTTCCAAACTTTACCAAGTTTTCTGTTAGATGTTATAAACTAATTATTTTTACCCACAGATGGATTCATCACAGTTTAGTTCATCACACTAGTCTTTTAATAATTTTCCAACCTAAAATATATCTGGTTAAAGGTAAACTTTTATTTTATCTTTTCTTACTTTTCTTGGGACAGTGTTTTCAATAGATTTATTATGACTTCAAAATGCCTGAACTTTCTCTTTCACCAAAACAAATTTAAAAGGCAGAAAAGTTACTAAGAAGCATTACCACTAAATGTTTTAGTTTACTAGTACAGAGGGTAGGGCGATTGCCTTGCATGCAACCAATCCAGGTTGGATGTCTGGCCTCCCATATGGTTCCCACAGATACACCAGGGGTGGTCCCTGATCACAGAATCAGGAGTAAATCCTGAGCACTGCAGGGTGTGGGCCCAAACAAAAAGTATGTTCATATGTGCAGAAAGATAACATATAACTATACAAATAATCTGCTTATAACTGCTGTATTCTTTAGACACTCCATTTCAACCAGTCTTTATTCAAAGGAAACTGGGACTGTGAACAGCTGGAAGTCCTTCCTGACTCTCTTAGGCAATTTAATCCCATGGCTTTTCTGATGTGGTTTAGAAACTTCTAAACTCACTTCTTTAAAGAGAACAACGATAAAAATTCCCAGGAAAGAAAAGTAAAGAATGTGGCCACTTTGCAGCATTAAGTCATGCAATTATTTCTTTAGGGAAAAAATAAAAAAATAACTCAGGCTGATGACTTAATATAGTGAACAGAAAATATGGTAAAGAGCGATTACAATCAGAATAAGATCACCCGGCATTCATTTCACAAAATAAGGAGTTCCAAGAAGCAAGAGCTGAGGCAGTTACCCAGAAGTTACAAAAGCAGGAACACGGTTACCGCACGAATCTCACTTACCATTCCTCTAGGACCTGGATACTCTCCATCTTTGTGGTATGCGCAGGTCTTCCTGCATTTTCCCCTCTTTCTTCGTTCCTAACAGTGAGGCTGTAATGTAGCATAACACTTTATTTTGTCGAGGGAATACCAATTCTTTCAAGAAACAATAACATTATAAGAAAAACACTTCACAGAAAACTTTGGTTTCCGATATGCGAGAATATTTAATGTACAGAAGAACAGCACCATCTGAGGCAAACTGGTATTAACAAAAGGGAGGGAGACAAGTTTATTTATTTTGCATTTTTGGGTCACACCCAGCAATGCCCAGGGGTTACTCTCGGCTCTGCACTAAGGAGTTACTCCTGGCGGTGGTTGGGGGACTCTATGGGATGCTGGGGATTGAACCTGGGTTGGCTGCATGCAAGGCAAATGCCTTACCCACTGTACTATCGCTCCAGCCCTGAAACAAATCTTTGATACTAGTCTTTAATACAAGGTCAAAGTAAAACAGAATCTCAAAATGGACATAATTATGCACAATGACCCCCCCTTGCATAGCAGGAATTGTAATCCCTGATGTACATAGTTATATAATTTACTATTTGATATATTTCCTTCTAGACCTCTTTGGAGTAAAACCATTTTGACTTTTGCTTTATACTATGCTTCGCTTGGTTTCCAAACATTTCCCCCATTGATGGCTAAAAAAGATAAAAAAGATCTGAATCCAAAGGAGAAAGTGCTGCATTCATACCATTCTTCCCCCTGCAGAAGAGATTTCCTTGTCACTGATAGCATCACTTCTCCATGCACTTAAATTCAAAGGACTTCATTTCTATTGGAGTTTGCCTTTGTCTTTTAATCCCTTTAGCCCAGCCCTGATGTTGGGCCAGAGAAAGGCTGGGCCACCCAGAGAGCTTACAGGGGTGGGGGGGGGGAGGTCTGGAGGAGGGGAGTCTGTATCTCTGGGGCATCCACAGGGAAATCCTACAGGGTACAGGAGCTCGGATAACCTTAGGGGGTTGAGCAACCCAGCAGGAGAAGAAAAAGATTGTCAGTTTATGGAATATAGGTGAGCAGCCAAGAGAAACACCCAACATTCTGGCTGTGGGCTGCAACTATGGAAGTTATAGGTAGATAATCAGAAGCAGTGTTGGCAACAGGGACTCTCTGGTCTTAGAAAAAGTCTGGTACTGAATGAACAAGAGACCCCTTTGACCAGAGCAGAGGAGGTTCGTGAGAGTTGGTCTGAAAGCAAAGGAGATTCAGAAAGAGAATCTCTTCCATTTGTTCATTCAATCAGCAGGAGACCATGAAAATGATTATTTTTTTATTATGTGCGGAGCATGTTCCTTTTTTTTTTTTTGGTTTTTTTTTGGGAGGCCACACCTGGCAATGCTTGAAGGCTTACTACTGGCTCTGCACTCAGGGCTCACACTTGGGGGTGCTTGGGGGACCACATGGGATGCTGGGGATTGAACCCAGGTCAATCCCATGCAAGGCAAGGGCCCTGCTTGGTGTACTACAGCTCCGCCCTCCTTTCTGGGCACTCTTCTTTAACCTTTAATCCCATATCCCCATTGCCCAGATGAGCAAAGGGAGGTAGAGAGTTATTTAGTAAGTTGGCCCCAAATCGAGACAAATAGGACGCATGGTTCCAATTTGCACCCAATCCTATTAAATAACCCTATTTATTATTTTACTTATGCACTTATTTACTTTGGTGCTGCAGATTGACACCAGGCTCTAAATCAGATGAATCATGTGCTCTGCCTGGCCACCAGTTTTATTAGTAACAGGTACTGGAGCAATATCCGACTCAGGGAATGCAGAAGAGGGTCTCTAAATACTACTGTGGTGAAGAGGAGAGAGAAGTGCTTCAGTGACAACTTTGATCTACAATTATTCTTTTTTTGTTTCAGTTTTGGTGCCACACCTGCAGGTACTCAGGGCTTACTCCTGTTTCTGCACTCAGGAGTTATCCATAACAGTGCTCAGGGGACCATCTGGGATGCTGAGGATTGGCCTGGGTTGGGTGTGTGCAAGGCAAATGCCCTCCCCGCTGTACTATCACTCCGGTGCCCTCCATAGTTATTCTTTCATTTTTCATTTTTTTTTTTTTTGCTTTTTGGGTCATAACTGGCAATGCACAGGGGTTACTCCTGGCCTATGCACTCTGAAATTACTCCTGGCAGTGCTCAGGGGACCATCCGGGATGCTGAGAATCAAACCTGTGTCGGCCACATGCAAGGCAAACGCCCTACTCGCTGTGCTATTGCTCCAGCCATCTTGACAGTCTGGTAAATGAGGCTGAGAAAGTGTCTCTTTATTTCATTCCTTCATCCTCTGGTGCAAAGATGAGGATGGAGGGAAAGAATAAACAGAAGCATTGGGGGAGACAAAATAGAAATGTTTTGTCCAGGCTGAACTAAACTGAAGGGAAGAGAATCCAACGGGGACGAGAAGGGATTCTTTGCCAAAGTAATTTCGGTGAAAATATCAGAACTTACTAGAGAGACAAATCAATTTCTCCTGTACCAGTTGGCTGGGAGAATGGCCAATTTATTGGTGAATAACCCTATGAAGAGTAAATCTGGCTCAAAAGTGGTGAGGTCCGAGGAATTTGGAGAAGGAGAAAGGGTGGCACATGGGTCATCAGACACCCATCACCGGGGTCACTGTCCCACTGGGCGGTGGCAGCTCCAGCACCCGCAGGGAAATCCTTTAGAAAAACATGACCTGGGGCAGCGGGAGGATTACAAGCTTTTGGGTGACCCCTTTGGACCCTGGTAATGCGCTTGCACCCTGAGACTGATTATCAACAGCCGCTCTCCAAGCTGCTAACATACTTTGTTCAGATACAGATTTTACTTATTTATTTTTATACTTGGGGGCTAATCAGGGCTATGTCCTCAGAGGTCCTCCTACTAGTGGTGCTCTGATGAACAGACAGTGCCAGGGCTCGAATCCACATCTCCTGAATGTGCTTCAGACCTGGGTGCTACACGCCCAGCCCCAGATCCATTTTTTAGAGTTATCTTCACGTATGTCTAGCTCGGGCAATTCTCTGGAATTTGATGGACTTCTAATCATTATGGAAAGGTGGGTAGGAGGAGAGAGGGATATAGTACTGGCAACATTTTGTGGAATTTCCTGGGAGAGATGAATTATGATAAGTGTGCAACATACAGATATTTTCAAACTCCAGAGAGGTCTTATTTAAGTAGAAAATGAACACCCATTCTGCTCTGTTTTACTGAGTATAGATGTGTGTGTGTGTGTGTTCATGAGCATGTGTTCATGTACATGTGCACTGTGTGCTCTGTGTGTGTATGTGTGTGTGTGTGTGTGTGTGTGTGTTTCTGAGATGCAGTATAATAGGATAAGGATAAAAGGCTCTCTTTTCCTAATTAAATTGTAAGCAACTAAGAATTCATCTCCATTGCACTTTCCCCTAGACTGGGACACACAGATGCAGATGGTCCTATGTTAGGAAACATCTTTAGAAAACTTGTTCTCCATTGTGCCTTGGCTTGTGGAATCAGTGATCTGGAATCCACATGCATGATTCATGAGTTTCTGAATATGAATTCTGGCTGTTTTTTTAATCTGTATCTGTGATATTTACAAACATCCCAAATGCCACCATATTAGAGTGATCGTTATGAAACACTGGGTTGTGTTTATATCTCTCATTTCTACAGATGGTAAAATATGGACACACATTTGTACTAAAACTACTTATAACAGACGTTTAATAAGTACTTCACTCCTCACCATTTCTCCAGATTTTTGGTCTAATCTTACACACAAGAATGAACTGAAACTGAACTTTAGCCAGCAACAAGTGTCCCTTTCAGCAGTTCTCTTTTGTTTGGTTGGTCTGGTGGCTACTCACAGCAATGTTAGTCTCTGTGCTCAGGATTTACTCCTGGCTGTGCTCAGGGGATCATAAAGATGCAGGGGATTGAACCTGGGTCGGCTGCGTGCAAGTCAAACACCCAACTGGCTCTACTATTTCTCTGTCCCTTTCAGTCATCCTCTTTTGCTATCAAAACTGCATTCAGCACAATAGCCAGGGTATGGAAACAACCCAAATGTCCAATGACAGACCAATGGATAAAGAAGTTGTGGTATGCATACACAACAGAATACTATTCGGCCCCAAGGAAAATAAAAAAAGATCATGTAGTTTGCTACAACTTGAATGGAAGTAGAGGATCTTAGGCATTGGATGGTCTTACTCTCTGGGGTGTACAACAAAACAAAGATATAGACAATATCAACTGATAACAAGACTGGTGGTGAGGGGAATCTGTGGACTGGAGGTGCCAAAAGGCACAGTTGGTGGTGTTGGAGTGAGGAAACAATGTACAACAAGACCATCAACACAACTGTAAACAAATAAATTATAATAAAAATGTAAAAGGTGTTCAATTAACAACACAATGAGATATTATCTATCTATCTATCTATCTATCTATCTATCTATCTATCTATCTGTTTTGGGGTCATACCTGGTGGTTCTCAGGGTCTACCCTTACTGTACTCATGGATCATGCCTGAGAATTGAACCAGGGTAAAGGCACACACTTAAACCTGGTACTATCTTTCCGATCCCTAAGCATACGACATCAAAAAAATATTGGATTCTAAGTTTCCTTGATCAACAATCCCAGACAACACCATTTGAAGATGAAGCGAAATGATTAAGGAAGTTTGGCACAAGAAATCAGTAACAGGTGTTGCTCCTTATGTCTTAGAAGTCACCTTGTCCCTCTTTTTTCACCTGGTCCTGCTCTAAACAATGCCACATTTTTAAGGTCAGAAATTACTAAACATATTTGCTCTAGGTCAGCATGTGCTTAGCTTACGTGTTGAGAAAAGCTCTCAAAGGGACAAACAAAGTTTATGATAATGATGGTTCAGAGATGGGGTGGGGAAACTTTCTTTCTTTCTTTCTTTCTTTCTTTCTTTCTTTCTTTCTTTCTTTCTTTAAATTTTTATTAGTGAAACACCATGAGGTACAGTTGTAGACTTACAATTTTTTTTGCTTGGGTTTCAATTATACAACAATCAAGTACCCATCCCTCCACCAGTGCCCA